AAAAAAAATCCCAGGCACGTCCTGCAACACTGCAAACAGCTGACTTTGGGAAGGCGTCACCCCCACAAACAATTTCACTGGGGCGCACCCCACGCCTACCCCTGCTCCCGCCTCCTCCCCGCCCCCTGCCGCATGCGCACAACGAGCATACGCCGGCTCTGCGCGCTCGTCGCCTTCCCCGCCCCCGAATTTCCAACTCCGGTTGGTCTGTTTCACGGGACCGCCCCTCTGGCCCCACCAGTGTGGCCGCCGCCGCGGTGCTCCGCCCCACCCGGCGGCAGCGTGCGGCTGCTCTGCTCGGAGCCGGGCTGCGAGCGGGGATGGCGGCGGTGGCGGCGACTGCAAGCCGGCTGCTCCGGCTCCGTGCGGCCGGGGCTGAGCGGCCCTGGCGTGGGCTTCGTGGCGCCGGGCTGGCGCGGGGCTTCCTGCAGTCCGCCTCGGCTGGCCATGGTGCGGCCCCGAGGCGGCAGGTGGCTCACTTCACTTTCCAGCCCGACCCGGAGCCCCAGGAGTACGGTGAGCCCGGGGCTACCCTCCCCGGTCCCGCTGCAACCCAGACCCCCAGGCCGGCCGGCGCGCGCGAGGAGTGCCGCTCCGCCCATCCGGGCCGGGGCCGGCGGGCTGGTCCTGCATCCCGGCTTAATCCCGGCCTCGCTCTCTGGAATCTCCCTGCCTCAGGGGCTGACTGTGATTCCCTCCTCGCTCTAGTTTTCGCGACTGTTCGCCCTCGAGACGCAGCCCCTCCGCACCCCGGAGATGGGTGAGACAGCATACTGCTGCCTGCAAGGGCCCGAGGGGCAGGGAACGCCTCCCTTCTCCGCCCTCCATCCCTGCTTTGTCAACCCAGGCCTTAGGTGGTGTTCCAGCTTGCCCAGGACTGGGTCACTAACTTTAGGCAGTGGCATTTGAAAGAAAAAAATATGTATTTTTCTTTCAGTAGGAAAGAAGAAAACCAAGGGTCTAAGTAACTAAATTGACTTTGCCAAGGTCACAGAACAGGTTCTTCCTAGAGATGGGAAAGAATCCAGGCTTCTTATTTGAGTTTAGTATTGAGCTTGTGCTGGGCAGTGCTGCCGCCTAGCCATGGAGAGGTAATCGATGAAGGTGATGGGGAGGAGGCAGCCATGGGAAGGGCATGTAGCAAACTCCTTATAATATGACTGTTTCCTGACTTTCACCATTTCTTCTGCACGTTTTATGTAATCTCTTAAAGATCCAGTGTCTGTTATCAGAATATCGGGAAACTAAGAAAACATTTACCACTTCCTTGTCTAATAACTTCTAACGTGCTAGAGCTGACCTTTTTGGAAGTGTGTCTTGTCAATAATAAGAATGAACAATTTATTGAGTGCTTACCACAGGCAGGCACTGTTGGGTGTGTTTCATCATCTCTTTTGAGCTTAGGACAACCTTAAAAGGTAGGTAATGTTTTTATTCCCATTTTGTAGTTAGGTTAACTGAGGTCTTGAGATAGTTTGTCCTAAGTTACACAGGTAAGTGAGTGGCAGCTCCAGCTTTGGAATCTAATTGGTGAGATTCCAGAGCTTCCATTCTAAATAACCTATTAAAATGCACATAGAAATAATTTACTAAGAGGGTGTCCCAGTTTTGTGAAACAGTCGATACCATAAAGGTGTTTTTTCACCAACAAGATAAACCCTCAATTCTGTCTTCAAAGCAAAGAAACTTTGGCCCAATACTTAAGAAATAGAGCACAAGCCTTCTTAATCCCTCCTTCCATAATTGTAAACTTATTAAAATATCAGTAAAATGATATCACATTTATATGTTCATTCTTATTTTAAAAATAATATAAGCATATTACAGATAATTTGGATAATAGAGAAAAAGCAAAACAAAAATGTAATTTCAACACCTATGACAGTAACTATCACTAACATTTTGAGGTATATCCTTCCAGGTATTTCCTTTCAGTTTAGCATAGTATTTTCCATAATCGCAGTTTTAATACAAATACAATTTGTATTATTTAATCAGAAGCATTTTGTTATGATGCTGTATCATTTTTATAACCTTCTTTAGAATTTAGAAGACATGTTCTGTGGAGTAGAGACACTGCAATTCAGTAGTTAAAATCTTGACTCTGGGACCAGATTGTCCTAGGTTTGTTCTTGTCCCTGCCACCTATGACTTTGGAGTTATCACTTATCCTCTATAAGCTTCGGTTTCTTTATAAGTAAGGAGTTAATAATACCTACTCGAGGAGGTTGTTGTGAGGGTTAAATAAAACAGTCTTTATAATGGACTTAACACAGTGTTTGACAACTAAGAAGCAAGATACACTCAGAAAGAAGAAACTTTAAATATTACCATTTTGCTTTTTGTTGTTACAGTTTTGCAATGTTATAAGTAATGCAGATATAAGCATTTCATGCATGTGGCCTTTGTGTATCTGAGATTATTTCCTTAGGTTAGAGTCCCAGGAGTGAGATTTCTGACTCAAAGGTATGAATGCTTTAATGGATTTTTAATGCATTGTTCAAATGACCAGTTTATACCCCATTTGTATGTATGAGTGTGAGTATTGGGTATTAATGCAAAAATCATAGATGTGTGTATACACACACTCAGGCATTTTGTGCTAACTGTACTTTGTCTTAAATTGTGTTTGTTTTATTTCTGTAGAGGAAAATTTTCCCATGTATTTCTTCATTAGATTTATTTTCTCTTGTCAATTGAGTATTCCATGTTTTCCCATATTTTAAAAATTGTACTTGTAGTATTTTTCCTATCAATACTATACTATCTACCATTATTGATTAACTGCTCTTTTCCAGGTGTTGTGGTAGACATCAGTTCATAATCCTCACAGTAATCTTGTGAGCTAGACAGTATTATGCTCATTTTAAAATGAGAAAATTGAGGCTCAGAGATGTTAATGTTAACATCTGGTAAGTATCAGGGCCAGAGTTTGAACCCTGACGTGTCTGACTCCAGAGCCTTCCATTGTTACTTATATACTAAAATTTTATAAAAGATGTTAAAGAAGATATTAACTTTCTGCCTTTCACATCTGCTACAAATACTTTTCATTCTTTTATTTGGGTGGTTTTGACATATAAAAGGGACTGCTTAAATAGGAAGTAGTTAGGGCTAACTCTGAATAGGTAACATTTAAGCTGCACAGTGAAGAATGAATGACAAGGAATCACCACTTCTGCCAAGACCAGGGACAACAGTGTTTTTCAGGAAGAAATAAAGACAAGCAAGGTCAAAGGCCTGGGGGTGGGGTGGGGTGGGGTGGGGGGCTTGTGTTGTAGCTACTAAGAAAGCCCTGTGGTTGGGATGTCCTGAGTCGGGGGAGGTAGGGAGGTAGGAAGGGCTCTTGAATTTCAAGGGTAGACGGAAGAGTCCTCTTTTTTTGTGGGGATGAGGGTCTGCTCCTCAGCATTAGAACTTATAAGGAAGGGAACAGCAAGAGTAAGGAGAGGTTAGAAAGCATGGCATTTATACGGAGAATGGGAAATAATGAATTTATTTGGAGGAAAAAGGGGAAGACTAGGAAATAAGTTTGAGAGGGTAAATGGAGGTCCCCTTGAAACCCAGAATAAGGGTTGAGGGTGAGAAAAGATTGAATATTTCCAATGTACACTATACTATGCTGGACGCATGACATTCAGGTTCAAATTTTCTTTGGGTGTGGAAGGCCGCTGATTATTTTTAGGCAAGAAAATGACTTGAGATGTACTTGTGTTACATTATTAGGAAAGATTCTAGAATGGAGTAATGAATGGAAAGTGAGGAGGCAAAGAGATCAATTGGGGATATTGTCATTGTCTAGATGAGAGGATATAATTGGCCTTGGAGAGTACCAATGGGAAAGGTTGTATATTTTGGAGAAATGGACCAGATTTTCCACAGTTGTGCCTGTGGGGTCTTAGGGGTATTGAAGGTGACTTGATATTTTTAGCCTGGGAGGTTGAAAGGGTGGTAGACTGGTGGTATCACCGATACAAATGGGGAATGCCAGGGGAGAAGCGCATTTTTGGAGAGAAAGAGGGAATGACTTAGGTTTTGGACATGTTGATTTGAAGTGTTGGTGGAGTGTAGCACAATGAGCCAGGCTAGTCTGTGTTCTAGTCTGATACCAAATGACTTTATGTCAAAGTTGAGAACCCTCGAGACAAGATAATTCTGTGTCTCTTTTCCCCATTGTATCTGGAATTGCCCCAAACGTGTGTCTTTTTTTCTTTTTCTTCCTAATCTGTGTCTCCTTGTTCTGACTTGCTTTCTCATTGCTCATGCAAACGTTTCTCTGGTACTCCACAGAATGATAGTAATGATAAGAGCAGACACTTTTATCAGTGCCCAGTGTCTGCCAGGCACTATTCTGAATGCCTGTGTGTATCAATTCATTTAATCCCCACCTGACAACGCTGTGATAGAGATCCTATGATTATCCATGTTTTACAGATGAAGAAAGTGAGACACAAAGAGGTTGAACTTTGACCTTTAAATATTCAAATTTCCCCAGGTCGCACTGCTTGTAAGCAGTGGAGCCAGGCTTCATTTTCAAGGAGTCTGGCTCAGTATGGCTCCAGAGCCTCATAACCACTCTACTACGCTGTCTCTTACATTATTCATACATGCTCCAGTTTTTTCACACTACACTTTTCCCTCTTAATGCTACCTCAAACTTGGCTTTCCCTAAAGACACTGCTGCTTTTACATCTTAGTTGAGCAGAGACTGCTGCCTTTCTCTTTCATTGCAGTTTGTCCACCTTCCAGTTTCTTCTCTGTATTTATTGACTACCAGGGAACTTGATTTGTAGTTTTCTTCTTCATCCCATTTTTGCTGCCATTTTGGAAGATTTCAGCATTCTATAGGCAATATTGCACAGAAGCTAAGAGCTGGGGTTCTTGAGTTAGACATGCCTAAAGTTGAGTCCCCTATTTACACTTTAGCATTGTAACATTGGCCAAGCTTATTAGTCTTCATAACCTTTCTTTCCCTCTCTGTACTGCCTCAGAGGGTTGCTGTGGGGACTCAGTTAGATGATCCACATAATTGCTGGTCGCACTGGATTGGGCCACCTTCATTAGGGTTTGAAAGAGAAGGTAATTGCAGTATAGATACTCCATAAATATTGGACATTTGATAGAAATTATCTCACTAAAATTCTCACCATAGCCCTGTACATTAGATATTATTCTTCCTGTTTATATAGAGGAGGAACTAAGTATCTGTAGTAAAGTTACTTGCCCAAAGTCACAAAGGGAGTAAATGGCATAACAAATTCCACGCCAGTCCTGCCTTATACGAGTATGTTTACTCCCTTTATTATACTGTGTTCTCCAAGAACAGCACATCCTGGCCTCTTTATGCCCCTGATTCTTGGGCATTGTATGTATGTGTGAATTTGTTTATTTATTCATTCTATGCATTTTTATTTTCTCCTGGATGCCAAACTCTGTGCCAGCTGCTAGGGATATGGTCATGGCCCTATCCTCATGGAATTTGAGGTCTAGTGAGGAGACAGGCAAAATGTGGTAAT